TGGGACCACAGCACCCACCTCACTTGGGAAGGATGCTCAGTGGGGTATGGGGACCACAGCACCCATAGCACCCATGGAGGGTGCTCAGCAGGGTGAGGAGGACCAGAGCACCCATGGAGGGTGCTCGGTGGGGTGAGGGGACCATGGGGAGAGGAACCAGAGCACCCATGGAGGGTGCTCGGTGGGGTGAGTGTGCTCATAGGGTGGTGGGACCACAGCACCCACCTCACTTGGGAAGGATGCTCAGTGGGGTATGAGGACCACAGCACCCATAGCACCCATGGAGGGTGCTCAGTGGGGTGAGGAGACCATGGGGAGGGGGATGACAGCACCCACGGAGGGTTCTTGGTGGGGTGAGCGTGCTCGTAGGGCGGTGGGACCACAGCACCCACCTCACTTGGAGGGAAGGATGCTCAGTGGGGTATGGGGACCGCAGCACGCATAGCCCCCCTGGAGGGTGCTCAGTGGGGTGAGGAGGACCAGAGCACCCATGGAGGGTCCTCGGTGGGGTGTGGGGACCATGGAGAGAGGAACCAGAGCACCCATGGAGGGTGCTCGGTGGGGTGAGTGTGCTCGTAGGGTGGTGGGACCCCAACACTCATGTCACTTGCGGATGATCAGTGGGGCGTGAGGACTGTAGCACCCATGGGCGCTGCCCCCATGCCTGGCTGTCACCCCACACCTGCTCCCATGGGGATTAGGATGGGAGTTTTCCCCAAAACCGAGCCAGGCACCGGGGTGACAGAGGTGATGGGACACCCCAAAGGCCCCGTTCACCCCGTGCCTCAGTTTCCCCATCGCCTTTATCCGGCCCCGCCGTAGGCAAACAGCGATAAGGTGCTGCCGCGCACCCAAATCCGGTGTTCTCCCCCTGTCCCCGGCTCCTCCCTGGGCGCCGCCGGACTTTGAGCCGGGACCGAGGGCGGTGGCAGGGCTGAGACCGGCAAACTCGTGTCACCCATGGGGCATCTACAGGCCCAAAAACCCCGAAATAGGGCCAAACCAACCCAAACAGCAGCTTTTGCAGTAAGATGCTGGTGTTCCCCCATCCCCTACCCCCCCCCCACCCCATGCCCCCTTTTTTTATGGTTTTTGGCAAAAAAAAACACCCACAAAATTCCCTTTTTCCGGCTTTTTTCCCACCCGGTTATTTGCAGGCACCAGGCAGCCGTCCCCGCTGCC